TTTTGATAAGCTGCATCCATCACTTCTCCAAAATAGCATAAAACTGATGATACAATGAGCTCCAGCAGGATGTATGGGTGGTGATTTTGAAGCAATCAATGGGGACAGCAAAGGTAAACACAGTGCTAAATGTCAGCTATGGTGATTGCGCTGCCACAATATCACCTCGGGCGGGAGACCCAAATAACCAAAATCAATAATCTAATCATTTCATATTCAAATCACGCAGGGTAGAGGTCTGGATCTTATTGCAGTTTCATATCCCTGGTGTGCTGATATATTCCAATCAACAAACCAGAGCAAGCGGATGCATTTAAAATAGAATGATTCAATGAGGCTGGTGGGTGGTTCACAATGTCTGAAATAAATGTCTATTATTTTCAGTCGGCATTGTTGAAACACATGCAATATGCAAATCTACATGTACATATACTTTATTTGTTATCGCTGCAATATAATCGACACATTTGAGTATGTGTAATAACAATGTAATGCCCATTTGTGTTAAAAAAAAATTACACATTAGTAAGTACAAATTGACAGAATAAGTTATTTTTATAGAGTTACAAAGTTCAAATAAAAGAAACCCAGGGTCTGCAAAACTATTCTCACTTGTTTCATCAATGCTTTATTGTGCCAGTAAGAAATATATGATCAAAAATTAATCTTATGCTGCTCAGATCTTATATTCCGGTTGTAGCTAGAAGTCTTCAGCATCGATTCCCTTTCATAACTGTAGTCATTCTGGACAGATCCACGTTCCTAAAACATGAACTGAATGTGAGGATTACATTTGGATCCTTGTGAGGTCTGCGACTTTCTTTACAATGACTGAATACACACAGCACATTCACAGCATTTAATCCTCTATGATAATGGATATATATGTAGATTTGAAATGTGAAACACTGGCACGCAGCAACAGGTCTGCTTTTAAACTATTAACTAGAACAGTAAGATTTTAATCTCTGACCAATGCGTCTTTTCCAGCTGTTGCTTTCAAAACGCATTAGAGTGAAATAAAGCATATTTTATGGTTTAGATGTCTGTGTGTGTGTTTAACCGTTGTCGCGCTCCCAAAGGTATCAAACAAGTCTGCTTGCACGAACAGAGTTACGATAACTCGTGGTTTTTGTTGGAATCCATGCTGATGCATCCAAATAGAACAACAAATCTCTACAGTATACGATAGGGATAATTGAACTGGTAAACACACACATGGAAGGAAAACATCTGCGAGTGCATCTGCTCATCATCATACCAAGCCCGTTGGAAATCTGCATTCTCAATATAGTCTACTTTATACAATTAGCACTGACTCATAAGCAAAACATCCCAAATAGGAGAAGACACAGTAGGGAAGAAACAGTGATAGTAACTGCCATAACTTGTTTTGTTTCTTCGCACAAATAAGACGGCTTATCCTTCCTGGAATACGGTGGCCTTAAATAGCTGCCTTTTTTTTCCAAGTTGTTGACTGAGAGCATCTCTGTGGGCTATTCCCTGTTGTCAAGTGTGTGTGTGTGTGTGCGTGTACTTCTGTGTTGCTGGGGGTTGTACCAATCCACTCAGGTGGCAATGTATTTGTGCTTGTGAGGGGTATACATGTGGGTCTTTGTGCATTTACGTCAAAACCGCATGTGTATTTGATTATTCTGTAGGTGTGTGTGTGTTTGCTCCCCAGGTGCACTCGCTTGATCTTAGGAGGGATGAAAGAGTGCATAAAGGAAAGAATGATACTTTAAGCACAGTAAACAGGATGCAGAGCCACCAGACAGCGGCAAATATCAGACAGCAAACACTAAGTCCAACAGAATTTCTCCAGACTGTCAGGTGTGAATACACCAAATCAGCAAAGAAACTGTAAACAATCAAAGCTGAAATAATGGCTGAAAATGTAGCACGTTTGTAAGCTATCAAGTCATGCGCTTCATTTAGCCTGGCTCGTTGACTGGGAAAGAACTCGTTCATGTTTGCCTCAATGGCTGAGCAGGAAAGAAGGGTGGACCACATCCACGCATTAACTCAGTCACACCTGGGAGCTCGTTCAGCACAGCCGCACAGTCTCACACTACCGAAGTCGGAGCTGCTTCACCGAAACAGTTAAAGGTTAATGCCCATAGGTCGCAGCCCTGATGGTAGTTGTTGAGGGATTTAAACTGCCGGGATTTTTCCAGCTACTGTACCCATACAGATTTTAAACCGTGACCTTTCAGTCACAAGCTCATTTCCTCTGAGCCTATCTGTCACTGCGGGTCAATACGTGGCTGGTGAGGATAAATGCAGAGATGGTGTAGACATGGTCACGCAGTCTTTTATCATATTTTTTAACATTTTATTCTTTGTTAATAGATGAATGGAACTGCAACTAATGATGATTCATTATCAATTATTTACAATACGTTATCTGTTAAAGAAAAGCAGATTTGTAATTTCTCACAGTATGAAAATATATGCTGAATAATGCTGAGTAATTCATTGCATTCGACGAAAACACTTCATACGTGCAAAACGAAACAAAAAATATGCCTAATTATTTGATGATTTGCTCATTTGATCCATTTACAAATAATAATTAGATTTAATTTTGCTTGTTTTAGCATTTTTAGTAATTCAATGAAGAAAACAAAAATGTGTTTATCTAATCTTACTTAATCTTGATGAAATTCAATAATATATATTATATAGCCCCATTAGAGAGAAAGAACTCCATCCTCATCTCCCAGGTCTGGAACTTCAGAAACATCTGTGTCACATCCAGCCCTGTGCATATTTTTCCGAGTATGCAATGGATGCGTGGGTTTTCGTGTGTCTGTTTGTGTGCAATGTGTACACAGAACAAGGCTGAGTCTAATTGCGCAAGTCCATCTGCTGATTTTGGAAACATGGCCTCTATCTAACAGACACAAATGGTACAGACAAAAACACACAAGCAAAGACAACACACATGCGCGCGTGCCACAAGTGCCTGTCTCAAAGCCTCAACTTGGACCCTGGATAATTTGCACCCATTTTATGGCAGCTGTGTGGACCGCATTGACTGGCATGGTTTACAATATGGGCCCTATTGTCTTCGAATAAAGGCCTCTCAACACAAGGCAAAGGTCACGTTATAAGACAATGAGCCTGCACTCACTGGGTGGCAGCAAGGGAGAGGAGAGAGAGACAGTGTGTGTGTGTGTGTGTGTGTGTGTGTGTGTGTGTGTGTGTGTGTGTGTGTGTGTGTGTGTGTGTGTGTGTGTGTGTGTGTGTGCATATGGATCTGTGTAAGAGAGATTGAGAGAAAAACAGAGAACAGAGACTGATTTGTGTAAGTGGTGTTACAGCTGGAATTTGAATTATCTTTGTATTTTTCTCAAATTTGTTTTTTTCTTCAATCATAAACTTTCCACAATATATTTTCTGTGTCAGGTTTCCAGGTGCAAAGCTTGTCAAGACTGTCACTTTTCTTAAATTCAGTTTCACACTTGATATTTAATTTTTGTTAACTTTGTAATGAGTGACTATATTGTGCATGACTGCACCGTATCTCGCATTCATCTGCTTGTTTATCCAAGCATTCTGTTTGTGTACTGCTTTGATGTGTTACTCAGTATACATGTAATGACTGTTTAACCAATGACACTTCACGGATATGTTTTCAGTCTGCACTCTCATTAGAAATGTGGTGATTGAAGGTTGTGTGTTTGTTCGTGTGGACCAGGAAACACCTGTTTGACGCAGAGAAAAAAAAACACATCCCCCATACGAACAATGATGTATCCCATTTCCTGTTGTTCTTTCTTTTTTACTTATTGTCTCAGTGAAATAAAGACAAAATGCGGCCTTGCTGTCACAGAATTAGATTTCAAAGCAAGCATTCAGAGCCATGTGAGAGTCAAGGAAGGCAAGCATGCAGAGTCACAAAGACCAGACAGGAAGGGCATTGAGGTGGTCACACTCACATATGCTGCCTACACAATCAAAACTCAAACGGGCGTGCACACAATAACATTCTTAATTACACAAATGTTATCATGGCTTGTCTTTTATTTCATATCCATGCAGTCGGAAACTTCAGTGAAATGACAGATTAAACTTAACAATGTGACACAGAGACCCTAAAATAAGGGAAGCAGAAGGAGTTTGAGAGAGAGACTAGCCTCATTCTCATCAATTCGATCAATAACAAATAGGATCCCACATGTAAACATGACCTCAGGGCTTTTTTACAGCAAGGATGCAATATATTTTTTCCCTGAGTAAAAAAAAACAAAATGTAAAAACTGATGGCAACCAGGATTCTCTGATAAGCTGTCAGTACCCAGGAACTGCACCCTCCTCGATTACCAATAAACTGAATGTGCAATTCATCAGCCCAACTCTAGGAGACAGTATTTCTAATTAAAAGGAAGCTCGTAAATTCGACATTTTACAGGTCCTGCTCAGCTTGTAAATACACTGTAAATAACCCATGCTGAGTGGCTTCATGGGCAGATGAAGGTCTGGATTTGTGGCAAACTCCAGCTGATGCCTTCAATGAACACTAGGCTGATTGCAATTAATTCAAATTCACTTTTATTCCCAATGGGCTAACGGAACCCACTATCTTTACATATCTAATTCTATTCCTGTTGCATTCACTGCATATTGCGTGTTGTTCTGTATTCTTTTTAAAGCTTAGTTAAATCTGATTGGATTAGCAGTTTCAGAGGACGCATTTGTTGGGCCAATTAGAGCACTTCCTGGCACAGATGGAACCATGAGACCTCCGGGGAGAACACTGGGTCATATTTGGATTTTAAAAAAGCATAATGTATACTGTAGAGTCGGCAAAAACAACGCACCAGGTGTGTGTACATATGCGTGACTATACCCGTGACTTAAAAAAGCCTGCTGTAAATAAGAACGAATTCTGAGTCAACATCCCTGGTTAACCACTGTTTAAAAATTGTTACAGTGTGAAATAGTGTGCATTTAATCTTGATGCACAAATACAGACACGCGTGGCATTTTCTTACCTGTTACTGGTGTACTTTGCTTTGTCAAAGTGAAATGAAACTGGTGAGAATCACATCTCAGTGCCAGCCGGATGTTCCAGTTCTGCAGACACGGGGGAGAGAAGAGGGAGGGACACAAAGGGAGAAAGGAGGAGAGAGGAAGAGAGAGAGAGAGAGAAAACGGTGGGGGTTATTCGAGCTCAGTGAACTGAAATCCCTGTCATTTTTTACAATAGAGACAGATAGCTATAATATGTGGTGAATGTGGGGTGCAATGTGAATAATGCCCCCCCCTCCAGATTGTGTGAATAGCCATAACCCACTCTACACAAGAACCAGACAGTTCACAAGCCACTTCTACTTCTGATTGCTTGTTTAGCATTCGTGTGTCCTTGTATGTGCATACACGTGCACACGTGTGTGTGCGTGTGTGCTCTGTCTCATAATGACCTCTTAAGTGTCAGGGTATCAAAGTCTATAATGGTCTGTCTATGCACTCGCTGGCAGTTTACAGCTAAAAAGCTCTCTCATGCCATGATAACTGGTTTATATGGGTGGCATTTCACAGCCAAATGCCAGAGACACTTTTCAGAAAGGGAAATTGTTAGCTCTGTTTCCAGAATTCAGAGAGGCAGTTATGCATGGTTAGTGTTACATATCTTTTTTTAATTTGTTTTTTGTTCTTTTTTGTATTTGTCAATGCATCTTTGTTTGTATTTTTGTTTTCACATCTTTCTCTCGCACACTCTCTCTTTTGTTATTATTATTAAGATTAGAAAAACCTTTTTTCTTTTTCCCTTTTCTCTCTCTCTTTCTCTTGCTCTCCACCTTCATTTCCACCTATAATCCCAACTTCTTTCGAGATAAACTTTGTACCAATATAACCAACCTCAGTGTGTGTGTGTGTGTGTATTTGTGTGTTTGTGTTATTACTCTGTGTACAGTGTCTGAAATCGCACATGGTTTATTTATGGGGAGGCTGATAAAACGAAAAGCAACAGTGTATATACTGTTTTGACTTGAATTTTCTTTTAGACAGTCTTTATCTGTGTGCATTTTCACTGTCATGCAAGACATTTGTCAGCCGCATTAACACACATCCATGCAACGTGTGAAACCTCTGTGGAGCGCTCAGGCAGGGCTGTGGAACTGGGTCTATCAGCCAGTAAAGCAGGCCATGAGCAATGTCTCTATGGTTGGGTGGGCAAAGACAACAAAAGATGGATTCACTGTTCTCTGTTAATGTAGTTGCATGTGTCTCTATGTATTCATGTGACTAAAGTGCAGGAATAGTGCTACAGACAACAGAGAACTAGTGAAATTACGTTTGGTTTTAAGCTCCTTCGACTATCCATCACCCTCATTCGTATCTCCCTTAACATGTTTAGTCACACAGAGATGATCAAGAATGGTGGAATCAGCAAGTAAGGAGTGTTGGAAGAGGGATCGAAAAGAAATGGGATTGAATGTAAATGTGAAGTGGTGAAAGACCATGTTTGTGTAAGCAAAACAGGGGAAGGGATTTTTTCATTACAACTCATAAACAGTAGCAAGTGCAAAAGAGGAAAAAGAAACAAAGATATAGCCAGCGCAATAGTGAGAGCACACAACACTGGTACACCACCAATTTGTTGCATCCCTACAGAGGAAGTCTTAAATAAAGTCTAATTTAAGTTTCCATGAAACACACAGGGAAAACTACAACTAGATAAAGTATATTTTTGGTATATTTTTTCCTTGCAATCACTAACCCTGTAAACACTGGAATTACATTCACACTAAATGTAATTTACTTCCTATTTCCAGTGCCATTATAAGAAGTAATGTTCCCTTATTTAATTTGGAAAGTAGGTATGTTTAGTATGTGTTTGCTGATGGGCCCATAATAGATCTGGTACCTGAATCAACACGTAGGATAACTATACCAAAATTCAAAAAATGTAACAGTTGCTTTCTGTAGTAGTTACCTTAGGCAACGTAAGTACAGAGGCTGTATTGTTACAAAACTAATGGTGGCAGCATATGGCTACAAGCATTGTATTCTATCGTTGTATGCTGAATAAGAAGGGCTGCCACAAGGACAAGAAAAACTGCAGATAGCAGAGGAAAAACGACATAGAAGACTGAGACTAATGCAGCTGTTGTGATAGCTCCATCAAGAATTGAGTATGGAAGTGCTTTGGGTTCAAGCAAATGACCAAGGTGTGATAAGCTAATTCATTCACAAAAAGAACTGTACAAACAATACTATTGTGCTTTTCAAACCAAGGGAAGAAATGATTCCACTTTAGGGAAGCACGTAAATTGAAAATTGGGGAAGCAACCAAAGAATTGAATCAGACTAGGAATCAGTTCATCTTTCTTACGCAATCCTGAAATAGCTCTTTTATTTCATCTTTTTTTTTGAGAGAGAGAGAGAAGGAGAGAAAGCTGGCATCACCCTAAAGTCAAACATGTTCCAAAGGCTAAGTGCTAGCTAACTTCAAATGTTTAAGCTAATGTAATGATGCTAACTTTATACCTCAGGGTAACAATATAGGGCAGTTGAAAAATTTCTAGTTTCTCTCTTTAGTTGCTGGTGAGTGTTTCAAGAAAAGAGGGAAAGGGAAAAGATTTAAAACAGTCTGAGTACACTTAAGGTGATAAATGCAGGACTTTGATCAAATGAATGTAAGAGGGGCCTCAGATAGAGAACAGTTGTAGCTATAGCTTCAGGCTAAGCAGGGGGACTGATCAAGAGGACTCTGGGGAGGGGGTGAATGAACAATGGGTGGATGAGGTTTTTTTTAAGGTCTCAAGGCTCAATGTCTTTCTAAAAAAAAAAACAGAGTAGATTCTACATGATAGATGATCCCCATTTTCCCACAGTAAAACAATTGTGTTTTCTATTATGAGAGGTAGTGGCTGTATTGATGTCCAGTGTCATCCCCATTATTCATCAGCTCTCCGTATGTAATTAGGATGATGCTACAGTATGCTTTCATGATGATTTTTTTCATGTATTACGCTCTGTAATTATGCTTTAAGCGACCAATTGCATCATAACACAATGGAAATTGTGCTGATGCCTGTTGGCGGAGATTTATGGCAAATCCAAGCCATCCAAGGCCTTTCTTTAAAGGGCGGAGTCCCCTATATATTCATTTTAAAACCGCAATTCTCTTCCTGTCCTTCAGCAGACTCTTCAGCACGGGGAATGTGGAGCAATAGTGTATATGGTTTACCCAGGCGTAAAATTAAAGACTCTTCTCTATGTGGCCCACATAAATCTTTGAAAGAGGGAGGGAAAGAAAAAAAGGGAATCAGGAATGTAGGTGTACATGATAAATAAAACTGGTTGATTTGTCCAGATACTGTGAACCACTGAACTGTAATCAACTTTGCTTAAGTCTGGACAATGAGATATTTCAATGCATGATTGCACAGACACATTCAGACATTTCAGGACTTGCATGCACCACATATATCATTTTAACCATTATACATAGCTTAGAGTAATTCCCAGACATATGTTTTCACGCAGAGATTGGTTTTAAAAGACCAAATATAATTTATCAAACACTTCCTTTACTCTAAATATCCTCTTACACTCTTCTAGGTCCATGTACTGAATGTCATCTCATTTATCACACATACAGTCTGAGTGAGAACCAATCAGAGGGTTCAAAATGCATGTAAGCACACTTAAAGAGACTAAGAGTATAATGTCTCACATGGTTAGAAAATAGACATGCGGTGCATGGAAGCTATTGCTCCAGGCCAGTAAGTCGTAGTGGTAGTCATCTGTCTTTCGCGACACTACCATGTATCATGTAAAACTGAGACATGGCAAAAAAAGCATGGTGGTTATATGTCAGATGAGTAGCACTGAACTGGATAGATTATTTTAGGCTCATATACGATGTGTGAAAGTAACCTAGTAGGTTTAAGCTCAGTTCTTGATTATTTTCTTCTTATTATTTTCTTTTTCTTCTTCAACCTTGGACAGAGTAAAAGGCTATATTCACATTCCGCCCGCTCAATAACACTGGGACTGAGACAAAATAATGTAAACATATATTATCAAGGCATTGATCATTGCTACATCTGCTAATATCTTTGTTCCATCAAGAATGACTATCTAGTCATCCTTGCCCTTCTTCAGCCTATCATACTACACCAGCAGCTAAGCTCCAGATCAATACTCCCTTTCATTCACACTCCCAAAGACTTGGAATGAATATGCTATTCGATATCAATCATGATCACAACTGTCCCAATGAACAAGCACAAGAAATGACGGTTTTGTCTTTCCTTGTCCCTTTTTCTTATTTACCATCAGATGACCAGTCCCATCAAAGTGCTTCAAGTCAGATCTTTCAGCCTGGTTTATGCTGAAAGGAACCAGATGAACAGGGAGTGGAAGATCTATGTAATGCAGTTAAAGTAAAAGCTCAGTAAGCAGGAAATTTAAGAGGGGCCTGGGGATGATGGTATTACAGCAGACGCTGATTGTGGACAATCTGCTGAAGAAGGAAAAGATATGGAAAATATCACTGCATGCAGTATTGTAGATATAAGAGACTCGCACCTCTCGAAAAGGATGAACTGAAACTATTTAACAATATGAAATCATTTAAATGTGCAATAAAGTGTAAATGTTACTTGTAACAGTAAACAGTGCTCAAAAAACAATGAAAGCAGAATTCCCCTTCTATTGTCTTAGCACCTGAGTCAATGAAGGGAACCAACCAGTCCTTTATTTACACCAATGAATAAGCCTTTAAACAATCCTACTTGCTGTAGTTTCCTCCATTGATAAGAAATGCTGTGTTATACGATGGCGCTGAGAGATTTAGGCCCCCAGCATTGTGATGACCTCATTGTTCATTGCCCCATAATTCAAATCTATCCGCTGTGTTGCATCACATTGTGTATGACTCATTTCCATGCAACCTATTCTCTAAACAACCACGGCCTCCTCAGCACGCTATAGTCAACCACTCAAACAACAAAGCAGAGAAGTTCCCATCAATACTGTGGCGACTGGCTTGACACTTAACGCACACAACAGCAAACAATGTTTAAATGAACTGATGGGTGATGGGTGCTATTGTAAATTAT